ATTGATTGACTGATTGATTGACAGGTTGATTGATTGGTTGAATGATTGATTGATTGACAGATTGATTGATTGATTGGCTGACTGATTGATTGACAKATTGATTGATTGGTTGAATGATTGATTGATYGATCGATCGATTGATTGACTGACAAAGAGTGTCATACCTACAAAGACGGCAGTTTTCCTCTCTGTTTAGTGTGCARCAAGGTAAGGTGTCATTCAATTCATCCGAGTCAGTATGAGCATGATAATGGCCACGAACATCATATTTGACGACCTAAAAATACACAAACATGGCTAGTCAGATATAGGAAGTCTGCATATCTGATCAGAGAAAAAATTCTAAAACATTAAATAAAACAACAAAATAAGATGAAATGATAACGACAGGGAGATTGTAGAGAGGAGAATAAAAAGGGAAGCCTAAGAGACATGTAAGAGAAGAAAAGCGAAGAGATAAAGATTGGAATCGAAAAGAATGAACGCGATTTGAATGGGGGAAGCAAAAAAGCAAGAAGCGAGAAGTGAGAAGAAGAGATTTAGTTCACTTACCTGAACTGGTTCGCTGTGACGAATCATGTGTTTTGGAAGACCAGTCAAACGATGAATCCTGTCAAGATAAGGACTCTGTCAAGTGGATGGATAGATGAAGGGGACAACAATAAATAAATGAATGCATGGGATGGATAAAGTGCGCGAGTAATATGTACTTATTGACTGAGTGGGAGGGCCGTACGGGAAAATATTTGGCTCGAGGTTATGCCGTACGCGTGCGTAGGGCCGAAATACGTTTCATATGATAATCATGCTTTACCTTCCATGGAAGTCTGCTAACAATGGATACTTGGGGTTATCGTGGAACATCCAAGCCTGTTCGCTATTCCTACTGCGCAAGTGTGGAACTTCTCTGAGTTTGTCAAAATACCCAGTGATTGCTGGGACTGTTACCTTCTTGAACTCTTCAACACTGATCACACCTGAGCAAGATAAAACGAGATTCAAACTAGATAAGAAAGACTGTTTATCACACCTGAGCAAGATAAAACGAGATTCAAACTAGATAAGAAAGACTGTTTATCACACCTGAGCAAGATAAAACGAGATTCAAACTAGATAAGAAAGACTGTTTATCACACCTGAGCAAGATAAAACGAGATTCAAACTAGATAAGAAAGACTGTTTATCACACCTGAGCAAGATAAAACGAGATTCAAACTAGATAAGAAAGACTGTTTATCACACCTGAGCAAGATAAAACGAGATTCAAACTAGATAAGAAAGACTGTTTATCACACCTGAGCAAGATAAAACGAGATTCAAACTAGATAAGAAAGACTGTTTATCACACCTGAGCAAGATAAAACGAGATTCAAACTAGATAAGAAAGACTGTTTATCACACCTGAGCAAGATAAAACGAGATTCAAACTAGATAAGAAAGACTGTTTATCACACCTGAGCAAGATAAAACGAGATTCAAACTAGATAAGAAAGACTGTTTATCACACCTGAGCAAGATAAAACGAGATTCAAACTAGATAAGAAAGACTGTTTATCACACCTGAGCAAGATAAAACGAGATTCAAACTAGATAAGAAAGACTGTTTATCACACCTGAGCAAGATAAAACGAGATTCAAACTAGATAAGAAAGACTGTTTATCACACCTGAGCAAGATAAAACGAGATTCAAACTAGATAAGAAAGACTGTTTATCACACCTGAGCAAGATAAAACGAGATTCAAACTAGATAAGAAAGACTGTTTATCACACCTGAGCAAGATAAAACGAGATTCAAACTAGATAAGAAAGACTGTTTATCACACCTGAGCAAGATAAAACGAGATTCAAACTAGATAAGAAAGACTGTTTATCACACCTGAGCAAGATAAAACGAGATTCAAACTAGATAAGAAAGACTGTTTATCACACCTGAGCAAGATAAAACGAGATTCAAACTAGATAAGAAAGACTGTTTATCACACCTGAGCAAGATAAAACGAGATTCAAACTAGATAAGAAAGACTGTTTATCACACCTGAGCAAGATAAAACGAGATTCAAACTAGATAAGAAAGACTGTTTATCACACCTGAGCAAGATAAAACGAGATTCAAACTAGATAAGAAAGACTGTTTATCACACCTGAGCAAGATAA